AGAGTCTCCAACCACCACTACCCTACGTTTCTTCCTCGCAGTGGTGGCAGGAGACTGCTCAACCTTGGTGGTGCAAGGCCTGGTCTCCTCCACTGTGGGGGGTGACTCCTTGTCTCCTGCTGAAAGTAAAGTGTAACGGTTATGTAACAACACAGTGGGAGGGTTAGGAGCAGGGGTGGAACACTGTCTGCTGCCGGAAGTAACCAGCTGCCAGTTCTCACCCTGCACCACTGCCTCCTCCATAAGTGGCTGGTCAACAGTCCCACATCCTAGGACAGTGACCTCCGTGGACTCCACAGGAATACGGAACTACTTAAGGAACTACTTAAACAAAAGGAACTACTTAAACAAAATAAAAATAAGGAACTACTTAAACAAAAGATTAATCGGGCTGCTAGTTGATGGTACTAAATTAAAGAAATTAAAAGACCAGTGTTGGAGAATTGGAGAAGCCTTAGCCACCAACCCCCAGCCCTGATGGAGGTAGTGAGTCCCTGTCTATGTCATACCATCCACGTCATACCAGAAAATCTATGAAAATCCAGAGGCCTACATGGACAGGTCATAGTATAACCTTTGGCCTCTTGGTCCCCAAGGGTATTTCCCACTCACAATGAGCTAGGATGGTAACCTCCCTGCCTGTGTGAAAGCAGGGTCATATTATTAGAATAGAGGGTATCACCTATCCCGAGAGTGCGGGGGGTATATTGTACCCCAGAGAATGCTGTACCCATACCAATAAGGAAATCTTATGTACCTGCCTATATAATATCTTGACGGATAAGTCTAGGTTTGAAGTGGTCATCACTAAGAAACAAATACGTATGGAGCCAGTCCAAATGAACGGTACCTACAGGTGTTTGACTGCCCAGACTGGCCACTCCATCAAACTAAATGGAAATCCCTGCCCTTCCACATATCCCTCTGTGTGCATACCGGTCCCTCGCTGGGCAATCCTGACCATTGATGGGATGCGGCTCTACCGTACTCTAGCAATGATGGGTAACCTAACAGAGGATCCTGAGTGGCATGGTGGAAGTAAGTACCTAGAGGAGAGTCTACTGGCCCTGCAGGCAAAGATAGAGGAGTTGGTGGCTGAGGCCCAAAGGCATATTGGAATTGGCCATCTGAGGTACACACAGATAGGAAAAACCGTGGACTGGGCCAAAACCAAATATGCTAAGGCACTCAACCAGGCAGTAAAGGTCAAAACCATAATCATGGGTAGCACCTTTACTGGTGACGAAATACTTTGGAGATGGATTTGGGTACTGTTTTGCCAAGTTATGTGGGGAATCTTGATTTTAACATTATAATAGTGCTGGTGCTGTACTGGCACTCCTGAGGCAAATTAAAAACCCTAAGACTGTCTATTTAACCTGGCGGCTTTGAGAACCTTCAGATCAAGAGGAGAGAATTGTAGGGTAAAATAGTTCATCTTAAGCAGGTCATGATATTTTGCTAAGTCACCCTGTTCAAATTCTGAAATCTGTTGGAGGCCTCTAACCTCTAAACCCTGCAAACCTCACAAACGGGCAGTTAGCATGAGTGGAGGGACCTTGGGAAAGGCATGGTTGCCCCGGCAACCACATTCCAAGGGGCCGCACCAGATAAGAGACACAGACTGGTGCCAAAACAACCTTTTTAATTTAGTGAATGTGATATGTTCTTACAGTTTTGCTTTAATCCTAGATAATGGACCCATAACCCTGTACAAAAAAATTTCATTTGGTGTCCTCTAGTTCTTCTATTTTGGGAACTAATAAATAACTTTTCTTTATCGTCACTCTCCACACCACTCATGATTTTATAGACCTCTATCATATCCCCCCCCAGTCTCTTTTCTAAATTGAAAAGTCCCAGTCGCTTTAACCTCTCCTCATATGGGACCCGTTCCAAACCCCTAATCATTTTAGTTGCCCTTTTCTGAACCCTTTCCAATGCCAAAAAATCTTTTTTCAGGTGAGGAGACCACATCTGTACACAGTATTCAAGATGTGGGCGTACCATAGTTTCATACAGGGCAGTACGATATTCTGGGTCTTCTTTTCTATCCCTTTCCTAATAATTCCTAGCATCCTATTTGCCTTTTTGACGGCTGCTGCACACTGTGTGGAAGTTTTCAGAGAACTGTCCATGATAACTCCACCAAATACGTTCACCGTTCTTATGTTCTACTGAAATTGAACATCTCATCATCAGAGACAGCAGGCTCTGGGGAAGGCTTATTTTCACCTGGGGAGCTCCTCTGCATGTTTCAGTTAGCATGTGGATACTGGCTACTATAACGCAAAAGCATTGAAGGGCCTGTGACAGAACCATATAATACTGCACTCCATTTCCCCATGTGCATTCTGCAGCAATCTGGTCTGCACCCTCCATGTGGGCACTGCGGGGAGAAATTCAACTCTTCCTAACGTCCCTTCCTAAAGTGACTTGTTGGGCTGAATGAGACGGGTACGACCCTTTTCTAAATGGAGCCCCTCCTGTTTACTAGCTCCTTATGAGGTTCATCAAAATAGGGGGAAAAGGGGGAAATTTCAAAACAGCTTATTTTGAAATACAAAGCATCTACTCATCACGTATTCCGAAATAAAGCACTCTTCTTTTGACTCCCCTTATTCCTCATAGAATGAGGGTTACAGGAGTCGGAGTAAGAAGACCTCTGGCTGGACGGTATTTTGACACAATTTCAAAATCACTGCCTGTTGTGTAGACGCAGGCTACGTTATTTCGGATTAGCGCTAGATATTTTGAAATAGTGTTGCAGTGTATATGTATGCTCTGTGAGCCGGTCACTGTCGGTGGCAGAAGGTTGTTCCTTACACTCACTGGCTCTGTAGCCCAGTGCAGAGGTAAACAGTATCTTCCCCTATGGGTTGTGGGGTTAGAAATGGCCATTAAATGATTCTTGTGGTCTTCATTTGTGGGTGTTCCGCTTGAGCCAGGAACTGTTGGAATTGTATTGGAAATCTCACACAGTTTGCTATCATTCTGAGAGCCCCAACTTCGGAATTGAAGGCCCCACATGGAAATCTCAGCTTTCAGTTTACCTAAAAAATTATTTTAAGAAATGAGTTGCAGAATTAATTGAAAAACCTGAAGCAGTTTCAGCCTAAACATTTAAAACGGGAAGGGATTTAGAAAGAAATAATGTCATAATGGTGGATCTTTATTTATTATATTATATTACATTATATTACATGTACCTATGTTATTAAAATAGTAATAATAATAATAATAAAAGCTACAGCATCAATACTACTACTACTACTACTACTACTACTACTACTACTAATTATTATTATTATTATTTCAGCAGCAGCATTGTTACTGCTAGAAGGGAGCTGCTGACACCTGCTTGGAGCCATGTGTCTAACTGGCACCATACAAACAGTGATCAGAGGCTCAGGTACCAGGAGCAGAGTCTGGCTAGTGCAGGAGTCTAATTGTTTAGCATCCCTGTGTATCCCTCATGATTACAGTTGAGTTCCCTGATGGCCAAGTGGCCCCAAGGGAAGGTACAAACATGCTGGATAAAGGCAGTTGCCTCCCTGTCTGAACACACGCTGCCTGCTGCCCATGCAACCTCTCCAATGACTCCTTGCGCTTCAGGGTGAAGACCTCTGGTGCCAGCGGCTCCCTTCTAGCCGGAACTGGGTACGTTGGCAGGTTTCACTGTCTGTTACATGCCAAGTGCAGGGCGAAGGCTGCAGGCTGTTTGCATTGGCAGATGTTTGTGCAGTGGCAGAGGACTCAGCTGAGCTGTCAAAGAGACTCAGTGATGGGGCTGGAGGGCAGGCAGTGCTAGGTAGCTTGGGAACCCTCCCTTACCTCTGCCTTGCTCCACCGTGGGTTACTCTAGTTACACAGAAATGTTGCAATCCACCTTTCCCACACCCAACTGTTTGCTTTACTTTGCTTTGAAATAACATGTTGAGGCAGTCCCCAAGTGTGTGCCCATCTATTACCATCCCCCTTAACCTGCACCGCTCTCTGTTCCATTCTTCCTCTGTCTTGTTGTACCGAAAGCCCCATCTGGTTGTGGGAATTGCACCTCACGGCATCTTTGGCCTTCGATCTTCACACATATGAAAAGTCAGGACCCCCCTCCCAATTCTATCTCAGGTGAAGAAACAGGCTCCAATGCTAAGATCCCTCTCTGACTGGAGAAATTATCTCTGAGAGATCAGAGAGAAAGTGGTCTGGCAGGTGCGGGCTCATGTACAGAGGTGAAATCTTACGCCAAACGTTTCATCAGGATAGAATTATTACAAGCCAAATGTGGATGTCATGCACATGTGAGCCGCCCACTTTCTGGATGTGTGTCACTGCTCCAAGGACAGGCATTTAGCCCTCTAACAGGGAGAGAAACTTAGAGTGCGCTACGTTCTTCGCTCAGAGCCACTGGCTTTATAACTCAAATGCAGAGACTCATGCACTAAACTCAAGAGGTCCCAGTTTTGGTTCTGCCTGTCAGCGTTACTCGTGCGTACTGGGATGCAGCAGCAGAATTCTTGGAATCTCTATAGGAAGGGGCAGTGGAACTTTACCGCTGAATGGGTTTTGGTTTAGCACAGTCGTCCCCAACCAGTAGATTGGGATCTACGGGTAGATCTTGGAGCCTCTGCCCAGTAATCCTGACTGGTTTGTCCAGGAGCTCTTTCGGAAAAAGGCTTCTTCCTCATAGAATGAGGCTTACGAAAGTTGGAAAAAACCCCTCTATTCTTTTGATTTTTTTTCCAGAGGAACGTGGTTGCAGTGTGGATGTAATTGATTTTTTTTTTTAAAAACTCTGTAATGTAGACATACCCTTAGATACCATTATATTTCCTTCCCAAGTGAAGTAACTGTCTCTATTATCTCGTTATCATACCAGAATTCTGCAGATCCTTGCATGGGGAGAGGATGCAAGGCCTATGAGGGTGAAGATAAGCCTGTAGGATCATTGACTCTCCAGATTCTGTTCATACTGACCAGAAAAACACTTTAGCTTCCCTTGGAGGGATTTTGGGCCTCAGAGTGTATCACTGGGAACATTTAATAAGGCAAGTTGACACAGCACATTCTATTAGAATTTACATATGCAAATATGCATAGATGCCTGTTGAACATGTTATTGAATCCAGAACCCGATCCTAAGAATTGATCACATGTACAGCAGAAGGGCCAGGGCATATTTTGTATTCTCTGGAGTGGAGAACATACTGCATGTACAGCAGAGGGGCCGGGGCATATTTTGTATTCTCTGGAGTGGAGAACATACACTATAATCCATCAATGAAAATGCCTTATAAGTGTGAGTTTAGGAAGGTTTTAATCACACATTTCTCAAGTAGGCTGTCGAACTGCCAGCCAAAATATTTCAGTGGGGCCAAGAGCTTACCGAGATTCAAAAAGGCATTGAATGTTTATATGGCTAACCGGATAATCAAATTACAGCAGTAAATATTTTTAGTAGACTTGGAAGGTCTATAAACAGCCCCGGTTTACATAGCAAAATTTAAAAAAAAACCCAGTCATGTAGCACTTTAAAGACTAACAAGATGGTTTATTAGGTGATGAGATTTTGTGGGGTAGACCCACTTGTTCAGATAATATTCTAAAAGTGAATAGTCATGACCATTATGTTACAGAGGGATACAATGAAAAAGTAAACAAAATATTCAGTAACGATTCACATGCATAGCATAAAAGGTGGAGGTGAAGAGGGGAGTGACAAGGAAGAAGGAAATTGTTTATTGTAAGCCTCAATTAAGTGGCTTATCTGGAGTTACTACGAATATCAAAAGGTGAGGAGTCTGTCCTTGTAATGTGTAAGGTAATTATCATCTAAACTAAGGCCCATTCACAACATTTCGAATTTTAGCATAAAAAAGAGTTCTGAAGTCTCTCTCTGTCATCTGGTGTTAAAGTCTCTTTGCAGTAAGACACATGGGCTACGTCTAAACTGGCACCCTTTTCCGGAAATGCTTAAAACGGAACAGTTTTCCGTTATAAGTATTTCCGGAAAAAGCGCATCTACATTGGCAGGATGCTTTTCTGGAAAAGCACTTTTTCCGGAAAAGCATCCGTGGCCAATGTAGACGCGCTTTTCCGGAAAAAAGCCCCGATCGTCATTTTCGCAATTGGGGCTTTTTTGCGGAAAAGACTACTGTGCTGTCTATACTGGCCTTTTCCGGAATAGTTTTTCCGGAAAAGGACTTTTGCCCGAATGGGAGCAGCATAGTTTTTCCGGAAAAACACTGAAAATTTTACAGTAGATCATCATTGCTTTTCCGGAAAAGCAAGCGGCCAGTGTAGACAGCTGGCAAGTTATTCCGGAAAAGCGGCTGCTTTTCCGGAATAAGTGGCCCAGTGTAGACACAGCCATGTTGTTAGGTCTTTAAGGAAATGGCCAGTTTAATTTAAATGTTGGCCAACAGGTTTTTCTGTGTGGAGATGTCTGATTCCTGAGCATAAATTCTCTGGTGAAGTGACTGACCAGTTTTGACAACTTGCGAATGGGCCTTAATTTAGATAATTACCTTATACATTTCAAAGACAGCCTCCCCACCTTTTGATATTCATAGTAGCTCCAGATAAGCCACTTATTTGACGCTTACAATAAGCAATTTCCTCCTTCCTTGCCACTTTCCACCAACCCCCCTTCTATGGTATGTATCTGATTTGTTACTGTATATTTTGTTTACATTTTCATTGTATCCCTCTGTTACATAATGGTCATGCCTATTCACTTTCAGAATATGATCTGCGGAAGTGGGTCCACCGCACAAAAGCTCATCAGCTAATAAACCATTTTCTTAGCCTTTAAAGTGCTACATGACTGAGGTTTTTTGTTTGTCTGTTTCTTTTACCAAGATCAGACTAACACAGCTGTTACTTTATAACAAAATAAGTCTAACTTTGTGGGTCTTGGGAATTGGAGAGCTCTCCCTGGGAGCAAGTCACCTCATAGCTGCCTCTAAATTCCTATCAGTCATGGAAACCCAAGGCCACATTTCAGCTCATCTTCCTGGAGCTACGGGGATTCGCATGCATAACGATCTTCTACTTTCTGAGAACAGAATTACGTCTAATAAAAAATTGTCCAGTCTTCTATTCTTTTTCCTCTCAGGAAGAAAAATTCAACACACCTTGGTTGTGCCCAGCACCTAATGGAAACTGTCAATGACACCAAATTCAAACCGGCCATGTTCCTTCTCACCGGGATATCTGGACATGAAGACGTCCATTTTTGGATTGCTATCCCCATCTGCCTTATTTATGCTATTTTGAAGACATCCATTTCTGGATTGCTATTCCCATCTGCCTTATTTATGCTATTTCAGTAATGGGAAATGCAGTTATTCTGTACATTATAAAAACAGAACCGAGCCTCCATGAGCCCATGTACATTTTCCTTTCCATGTTGGCTCTCACAGACCTTGGTTTATCAATAGCCACTGCACCAACAATTCTGGGTGTATTCTTGTTTAACTCTAGGGAGATCAGCCTAGATGCTTGTTTTGCACAGTTGTTCTTCCTCCCCTCACTTTCATTCATTGAATCCTCTGTACTCTTGTTGATGGCTTTTGATCGCTTCATTGCAATCTGTAACCCACTGAGATACACTTCCATCTTAACCCTGCCACGAATAGCCAAGATGGGACTGGTATTTGTGCTGAGAGTGGTGACCATTGAAATCCCAATCCCCTTACTCCTGAAACGGTATCGATTCTGTCGAGCTAATGTCCTCTCCTATTCCTTCTGCCTGCACCAGGACGTCATGAAGATGGCATGTGCGGACATCACCGTCAACAGCATCTATGGCTTCTTTGCAATACTCTCCACGGTGGGGTTGGACTCTCTGCTCATCTTCCTGTCTTACGTGATGATCCTCAAAACAGTGTTGGGCATTGCATCCCACACAGAGTGCCTCAGGGCCCTGAACACCTGCGTCTCCCACCTCTGCGCCGTCCTGCTCTTCTACATTCCATTGATCGGCTTGTCTGTGACACACAGATTCGGGGAGCACACTCCCCCGTTGCTTCAGATTCTTCTAGGATACATCTACCTACTCGTGCCTCCCATGATGAACCCGATCGTGTACAGCGTGAAAAGCAAAAACCTGCGTGCCAAGCTAATCAAATTCTTCATCAAGTGAAGGGTCAATTCATCACATGGATCCAGTTCTGGTGACAAGGAAGATGAAAAACATTGGCCAAATGCACCTCTTCCATACTTGGCCCCTGCATCCTTGATGATGTGAGCTGCTGATCTCCACTCTCTAGAGAGAAGTTGAGATGGACTTTAATCTGGACCCATGGGTGGGGTGGTTTTCAGGGTGAAAAGTGCACTGGGGGAATTTGACCAAGTCAGGAAGCAGCATTCATAATGTGACTGCGAAACTGTGAGAAGTCAGAGTTTGTCCCATAAAAAGCCAGATGGGTGGCATCTGTGACCTCAGAGTTCCAACTAATACAAGCAATAAAGAGAAGGGTTGTGGATGTTGTTTCCCATGACACTGGGCCTGCCAGGGTCCTATCTTTACTGAAATGTCCATATGCCAAGGAAAAGGCTGCCGAGTTTTTCTGCTTTCACAGTTCTGGCCCTTCCCGAGGTCTCTGAGTGCTATGTGAGCCATGACATCTGTAAATAGGAATATTCAGGGGGCACAAATACTCAGGCATTCACATTCTCCTGTTGATGTCTCTACGCACCACACACCTTCTTAGCCCACTGTGACGGCCACCGCCCTCCCATGCTTTAGCAAATGGACTTGTTGACACAGATATGACTATCTCAAAGTTGCTTTGGACAAATTAACTCATGTATCCCTTCAATCTTCATGTCATAATCCGCTGGGTCTGCTAATCTTACTTTGGTGCCTGTATCATTCTTGGGTGTAAAGATAGACCAATCGAGTATGGAATGGTTTATGATTTCAGATGTGCAAGTAAAACCCATTAAGGGTGTTATCATCAATGTCTAGATGGCCAACAGTAAAACTCCTTTTTGTCCTTTAGGTCTTAGCAGTGGGTGGTCTTAGGAAGTCTCATGTCCACCCCAACTGGTAGAGGTGAACCAAATAATTGTCCATGGAAATGTGGCCTCTATAAAACAATGGAAAGCTAAGAGTTTCTTTGTCTTTGGCTGGGGTAGCACACCCAAGAAGATGAACCAAAGACCCCAGAGAAAAGAAGACTTCCCTCATTTGGAGGCTTAGCTGGAATAAGAAGAATTTTAGAGTGACTTTGTGATATGTTTGTACTGAGGTTTCAGTGTTAGTATTAGCGCTAAGCATTTTCTGTCATTTTAAATCCGTTATCTACTCTGCTCTTCCTGTTCTCAATTACAACCACTTAAATCCTACCGCTTGGATTTAATAAAATCACTTTCATTTACTATCAAGCCCAGTGTAAATTACTGTTCCTTTGGGATAGCAATCAGTGTGCGCATTCTCCCTTTCATTGTTAAAAGGGGCTCACCTAAATAATTCATTGGGAGTTCTGATCCCATCTGGGCAGTGGTATCCCAGGAAGCTGGGCCCAAACCTGCATTTCCCTTGGACCTGAGAGTTTCAGTGTCTGTGCTTCACAGGGGGCAGTGATTCCAGCTCTGTGCCGTGGCTGCAGGAGACCAGTGATGGGTCAGCTGGACAGAGCAGTGAGAAGCCCCAGAGAGCAGGAAGGCGAGTGGCAGTGGCTTTCTCAGCACTCCGGGAAGCAGCCCCAAAGGGTCTTCTGTGACCTCGCCCCGTCACTCCCTCCCCCCACTAAGGCAGAGAAGAGCTGGGTGTGCGAGTGAGCGTCTGACAACCAGAGAGCTGGCAGGACACTCAAACCCAAATTCCCTCCCAGGTTCTGCATTTGTGCTTCCCCAGTAATGCAAAATGTGGGAAATGCTCCTTCCCCCCCCCCCCCCAGGGCCTCTTTTCACTTTTAAGTCCTCTCCCAGGCCAGCCCATTTAGATTAGATTAACCATATTTATAAAGAGCAAAGGCAGGACCCACGCAGGAACCCGTCCACTCTCTATCCCCTCCCTGCCTCCTTCATGGCTCTTCCCTCCCCCTTTCTCTCCCTCCAAAGCTCCAGATCCTCCCCAATCCTCACTTCCCCCTCAGCTCCTCCCCTGGACCAGGTTTTGTGTTGGAGCTGGGCCAGGGTAAGAGCTGCCCAGTTAGCCTAGACTCTGTCTGTCGATGCTGACAAGACGAGATGGGCCACTTGCTGATTCCATAAGAACATAACAACGGCCGTACTGGGTCAGACCAAAGGTCCATCCAGCCCAGTATCCTGTCTGCCGACAGTGGCTAATGCCAGCTGCCCTATGTCCTATGTGGGCAAAAGGTCCCAAACATAAGTTCCCCTTTTCAGTCCCGGGAAACCATAAATAAGCTATGACCAGTATCTGGCTGACAGTGTCTCAACCATGGAAATCCCAAGGTCAGGGAGTCTGTGACCTTGGGAAAGGTGATACTTTTTTTTAATGCAGGAGCCTTTAATGACAGGGTATTTTTAAGGTGGGGTGGGGAAACTTTTTTGACTTGGGGGCTGCTGACCCCCAGGAAAATCAGTCAGGAGCTACGCAAAAGTAGAAAACAAACAAACAAACAAACAAAACCCCCTCATGGATGTTGCCCCTGACTGAGAGGAAGAAAGACATGCCCCATATGAATAGGGGGGGTCCAGGTGTATAGATTTTGTGCCCCCCCCCGAGGCTGTGGGGTTGGAAGAAAAATGAGGGGTTCAGTGTGTGGAAGGGGGCATCTAGGAAGTAAGCTTGGTCTGAAGGGTCTGAGCAAGAGGGAGAATGCAGGAGCGAGTTGCAGAGAGTCCTGAGATTTGGGGGCCAGATCCAAGCAAGCTGGGAGCAAGATACAGACAAGCCAGAGGCAACATCTGGCCCCCGGGTCTTAGGTTCTCCACCCCTGATTTAAGATCTCTTGCCGGCCTCCATCTCCTGCACTCAAAGTGCCAGAGTGGGAAACAGCCTTGACACTTGTCATTAGCACTGCACAGTAAGAGGGGAACCCAAGACATGCTTTTAAAGTACCTGGAGAGCATTGCCAGGATAAAGAGTGTCCTGCAGGGCTACCCCTCCATTGAATACCAACCCCTACCTATTGCAGGGGTAAGGAGGGCTGCTCTAACATTACAGATCGATATCAGACTCTGCATCTAAAGTTCCATCACCACCAAGTTTTAGCTGTGTCTGTGGAAGGGGGTGTTCATACCAATAGAGAACTGGCAGCAGGTGTCTGAAACTGGGCATGGGTCTCACCTCTTCATAAATAAGCTATGACCAGTATCTGGCTGACAGTGTCTCAACCATGGAAATCCCAAGGTCAGGGAGTCTGTGACCTTGGGAAAGGTGATACTTTTTTTTAATGCAGGAGCCTTTAATGACAGGGTATTTTTAAGGTGGGGTGGGGAAACTTTTTTGACTTGGGGGCTGCTGACCCCCAGGAAAATCAGTCAGGAGCTACGCAAAAGTAGAAAACAAACAAACAAACAAACAAAACCCCCTCATGGATGTTGCCCCTGACTGAGAGGAAGAAAGACATGCCCCATATGAATAGGGGGGGTCCAGGTGTATAGATTTTGTGCCCCCCCCCGAGGCTGTGGGGTTGGAAGAAAAATGAGGGGTTCAGTGTGTGGAAGGGGGCATCTAGGAAGTAAGCTTGGTCTGAAGGGTCTGAGCAAGAGGGAGAATGCAGGAGCGAGTTGCAGAGAGTCCTGAGATTTGGGGGCCAGATCCAAGCAAGCTGGGAGCAAGATACAGACAAGCCAGAGGCAACATCTGGCCCCCGGGTCTTAGGTTCTCCACCCCTGATTTAAGATCTCTTGCCGGCCTCCATCTCCTGCACTCAAAGTGCCAGAGTGGGAAACAGCCTTGACACTTGTCATTAGCACTGCACAGTAAGAGGGGAACCCAAGACATGCTTTTAAAGTACCTGGAGAGCATTGCCAGGATAAAGAGTGTCCTGCAGGGCTACCCCTCCATTGAATACCAACCCCTACCTATTGCAGGGGTAAGGAGGGCTGCTCTAACATTACAGATCGATATCAGACTCTGCATCTAAAGTTCCATCACCACCAAGTTTTAGCTGTGTCTGTGGAAGGGGGTGTTCAGACCAATAGAGAACTGGCAGCAGGCATCTGGAACTGGGCATGGGTCTCACCTCTTCATATTAAGAATGTTCATGGCCTTTCTTATCCATTGTGTGCATATCTCATGTCTATGCAAGGTAAGGAAACCCTCTGAGCAGGACCTGAGAAATCAGTAACTCTGTGAGCCAGTCACGTTTACATCTGGCTGTCAGTGGCGTAACGTGGTTCCTTACACCCACTGGCTCTGTAGCCCAGTGCAGAGGGAAACAGCATCTTCCCCTATGGATTGTGGGACCAGAAATGTCATTTAACTAATCCTCAGGGGCTTCATTTGTGGATGCTCTGCTTGAGACAGGAACTGTTGGGATTGTGTTGGAAATCTCACACAAGTTCCTGTCATTCTGATAGCCCCAACTTCAGAACTGAAGGCCCCACGTGAAAATCCCAGCTTTCAGTTTTCCTAAGAAATTATTTTAACAAATGAGTTGCAGAACTAATTAAAAGCCTAAAGTGGTTTCAGCCTAAACAGTTAAAACCAAAAGAGATTTGAAAAGAAATAATCTCATAATGTTGGCAATTTATTAATTATATTATATTATATTATATTATAAGGGGAATCTACTTTGAAGTGAATTATATTATTTCCATTTACGGTATGGTCCAGAGAGAAGTGCCAATTTGGAATGTCTTTAGAAGCCAGTTGGCTCTGTTTTCCCCACCTAACAACTGGTTTTCTAGAGTGAGCAGTAATTTAGTGGCTTTATGGTGTTTCTGTCTGAACTGTAGAGAAATTACATGGAAAACACAATCAAATTAACCCATCTCATTTCATTTTGTTTTTTGTAATTTGATTTTGAGTATATATTATATTATATTATATTATATTATATTATATTATATTATATTATATTATATTATATTATATTATATTTATTAAACAGGCATCCCTATGTTATTATTCAACCAAAGTGTTGGAGCATAAGCTTTCGTGGGCAAAGACCCACTTCGTCAGATGCATGTGACTCCTCGCCACTTTTGCAGATTCAGACT